CTGTTTTGATACGAGTATGGACGAGAGGAAAAATATTGTGGCGAACGATAATTATTTTCGATCTATTATCTTCATAACAACAAGGAACATGACCAGTCTGTTTAGAAAAGGGCATGCACAAAGGCGTTGCGCCGGCGGCGAACGGATAAAGATTAATTTGGCATCCACGATAATCAGGAGCAAAATGAGAACGCCATTTACGCGAATAGACGCAAACGAATTTGATGAATTTAATTTGCGACGAAGCTGGAATTGGCCAGCTACGCGGGGCTGTCCGATCGTTATGTGCTGTTACCGAGTTCATGTTACAGCGCACACAGTGACAGCGTATCGCGAAAGCGTAGCAGAACCTATACATACGTATATTGTAAATCTTTATTCCATATTGTACTTAGTATATATATATGTATATATATATATATATATATATATGTATAACACATGAGCGACTCGCTGCGTGGTTTGCAGATATTTCGAGAGATGATTTTTCACTATTTGCCAGATAGCTCGTGTTTGCGTTTTATTTCCGTAGTTTTCTACGTAATTAATTTCGAAATCTAGACAACTGAGTCCGCACCGTGACTGTACTCTTCATCTTCTTACAGCTACAGCGTGCTCTCCCTCCCTCCTCTCTTACTCACTCTCTTGCTTGCTTGCTTTCTCTCACTATCTTTTCCGATCTACATCTGCTGCTCGCTAAGTTCCTCTCTCGTTATCGCTCGCTCTTTCCAATACCATTCTGTGTCTGGTTCTTCCTCTTTTACTTCCCACACTCTCTGGTTCCCCGTCTCTTTCACTTGCTCTCTCCATCTCGCGCTGTCTGACACTTCCTCTTCCTATCTTATTCTTTCTATCTCTCTCATTTGTTCTCTCCCTCTCGCTCTCACTTTTGCTCTTCCTCTCGCTCTCTTTTTCGCTCTTCCTCTCGCTCTCTTTCTCTCTCTGTCTCACTCTCTACCTCTCCTTCTCTCGCTCTCTTCCTTTGTTTTCCTTATTCTCGCTATCTATACGTGGCAATGCCAGGCCGGCGTGCTACGCCCAGTATTCTCACCTGCTATTTCTCTCCTCCTTCCTTCCATCTGCCTCTTACCCACCGACACACAAGTACCGCGCTCAGCACAAACACGTACTGTGCTGCTGACTGACAGCTCAAAGCGAATCGGCGACTTTGCGTCTTCTACGTGATAGGATTAGAATGCGTAATGAGCCATCTGGTCGGACCACTAAATTAGCTTAAATTGGATTTCAGGTGGGCACCGTTTTTTCGACTCGATGCGCGGGAGTCAATCGCACGGATTTGTCGTGGGGTGGGGGCGCGGAAATGGGTGGAGCCGCATCTAACAATGTGCGGTATTGTCACCGGCATGCGGGCAGAGGCACGGCGCAGGTGATCTTTACCGCCGCCGCCGCCGCAGCAGCCGCGCAACCTGTCCGTCTTTTTACCTGATTAATCAGCGTGCGACCTTTGAAATGACGTTTGCCGCTAATTGCCTGGCTCGTTGTCATAGCGGCGAGTTGTCGCGTGTCACGCGCATTGCTAATTTATCCGGAGTACACTCGCGGCTTGTCCGTGTGGCGAGACGCGACACTTTGTTGAATCGCTAGACTATAGGCGGTACTCTCGGATAAACCAGCTGCTAGGTATTCACCGCTCGTGTGTCGTGTATGCGTTCCCTTGTGTGTCTTGTACGTGTCGTGTACATGTTTCGTATAATATGTCTTGTACGTATTGTATTATTATGTTGTGTCGTATATGTTACGTATTTGTGTCGCCTGTGTTTTTTATGTGACGTCGGTGTTTTTATGTGTCATTTGTGTCGTGTGTTGTTTATGTGTCGTAAATGTCATATATATGCGTCATATATTCGACGTATATGTGTCCTATATGTGTCGTATGTGTCTTTTATATTTTGTGTGTAGTAGGCATGTAGAAGTTCCCAATAAAGTTTGGAACTTATATCAGATCTAATATGCTTTTAGAGACAGTACCGCAGGAAACATTGTCTATATTATTAACAAGGGTTTGCGGGGTTGCCTCAGAATCGGTCGCATATTTAGGTAAAATACACACACACGGACACTCATACGCACGCACTCGCACACAAACGCGCGCACACGCACACACACACACACACACACACACACACACACACACACACACACACACACACACACACACACACAAGACACGACCTGTGTGTTAATTGTGCGCGCGTGCGTGTTGTGGTATATATGTGTGCGCGCCGCGCGGTGTGCGTTATATATGTGTGCGCGCGCGTGTGTGGTATATCATGTGTTGCGCGCGTGCGTGTATGGTTATATATTGTGTTGCGCGCGTGCGTGTATGGTTATATATGTGTGCTGTGCGCGCGTGTATGGTTATTTATGGTCCGCGTGCAACCTCCTGAATGTACCGTGGGTATATATGTGTGCGCTGCGCCGTGTTGTATATATGTGTGGCGCGTGCGTGTAGCAAGCTGCAAATTGATTACATACTGCT